TTGTTCCCTGAAGACCCAGAATCACCCACCCAGGTTTCCTCTGAGGCACCAGGCAATGGCTGTCTGGATGGGTCAGTTAGCCATGCAAATACGTGGCAAGTCTTAATTTCCTCTGACAGAGTTTAAGGATCTTTGTGTATTAGGATCCTAGCCCACTCAAGCCGCTTAGTGACGTGCTCAAGGGCTTGGCTCAAAAATAGTTGCAGAAGGGCAAGTGGAAGAAGGACTCAGGTCAGAGCTTTTGTAGGACATCTTTCAAGTAAGGAGGAGGTGCCAACTGCACACGCATGATGGGTCTGTGCAAAAGGCTGGGTAATCCTGTCCCACTCAGCACATGTGCAGGTGCCTGTGTACCCTGGGGACACCACGAGAAAGAAGGCTGCTACCTTGTGTTTTGCACTATTGTTCTCACCAACAAGGAGGGGCTGGTAGGGAATGTGAAGCTCAAGGGCAGCCTTGGCTGCAGCAACCATGAAATGGTGGAGTTCAAGATCCTTAGGGCAGCAAGGAGGATGCATGGCAAGCTCGCCACCCTGGACTTCAGGAGAACAGACTTTAGCCTCTTCAGGGATCTGGTTGGTAGAGGACCATGGGATAAAGCCCTGGAGGAAAGAGAGGCACAAGAGAGCTGGTTAATATTCAAGAATGGAAGGAAACAGGAGACCTGGTTACCTGGGACATGGAGAAGGCTGAGGTGCTCAATGACTTTTTTGCCTCAGTCTTCACCTGCAGGTGCTCCAGCCCTACCGCCCAAGTTGTAGAAAGCAAAGGCAGGGACTGGGAGAATGAAGAACCACCCGCAGTAGGAGAAGATCAGGTTCGAGACCATCTGAAGGTGCACAAGTCCATGGGACCTGATGAGATGCATCCGTGGGTCCGGAGGCAACTGGTGGATGAAGTGGCTGAGCCACTATCCATCATATTTGAGAAGTCGTGGCAGTCCAGTGAAAGTTCCACTGACTGGAAAAGGAGAAATGTAAACACTATTTTTAAAATGGGAAAAAAAGGAAGACCTGGGGAACTACAGGCCAGTCAGTCTCACCTCTGTGCCTGGCAAGATCATGGAGCATATCCTGCTGGAAACTATGCTAAGGCACATGGAAAACAAGGAGGTGATTAGTGACAGCCATCATGGCTTCACTAGGAGCAAATTGTGCTTGACAAATTTGGTGGCCTTCTACAATGGGGTTCCAGCGTTGGTGGATAAGGGAAGAACAATGGACGTCATCTACCTGGACTTGTGCAAAGCATTTGACACTGTCCACATGACATCCTTGTCTCTAAATTGGAGAGACATGGATTTGACAGGTGGACCACTCAATGGAAGAGGGATTGACTGGATGGTTGTACTCAAAGAGTTGAGGTCAACAGCTCAATGTCCGAATGTAGACCAGCGACAAGTGGCATTCCTCAGGGATCACTGTTGGGACCGGTGCTGTTTAACATCTTTGTCGGTGGCATGGACAGTGGGACTGAGTGCACCCTCAGCAAGTTTGCCAACGACACCAAGCCATGCGGTGCGGTCGACACACTGGAGGGAAGGGATGCCATCCAGAGGGACCCTGACAGGCTTGAGACATGGGCCTGTGCAAACCTCATGAAGTTCAACAAGGCCAAGTGCAAGGTTCTGCACCTGGGTCAGGGCAATCCCAAGCACAAATACAGTCTGGGCAATGAGTGGATTGAGAGCAGCCCTGAGGAGAAGGACTTGGGGGGTATTAGTGGATGAAAACCTGAGTATGACATGGCAATGTATGCTCGCAGCCAAGAAAGCCAATTGCATCCTTGGCTGCATCAAAAGAAGTGTGACAAGCGGGTTGAGGGAGGTGATTGTGCCCCTCTACTCCACTCTGGTGAGACCCCACCTGGAGTACTGTGTTCAGCTCTGGGGCCCCCAACATAAGAAGGACATGGACCTGCTCAAGCAGGTCTGGAGGAGGGCCATGAAGATTATCAGAGGGCTGGAGCACCTCTCCTGTGAGGAAAGCTGAGAGAGTTGGGGTTGTTCAGCCTGGAGAAGGGAAGGCTCCAGTGAGACCTTATTGCAGCTTTTCAGAATTTAAAGGGGGCTTATAAGAAAGATGGGGACAGAGTTTTTAGTAGGACCTGTAGCGATACGAGAAGAGGTAATGGTTTTAAACTAGAAGAGAGTAGATTCAGACTAGATATAAGGAAGGCATTTTTTTACAGTGAGGGTCATGAAACACTGGAACAGGTTGCCCAGAGAGGTTGTGGATGCCCCATCCCTGGAAACATTCAAGGCCAGATTGGTTGGGGCTCTGAGCAACCTGATCTATTGGAAGGTGTCCCTGCCCATGGCAGGGGGTTTGGAACTAGATGGTCTTTAGAGTTCCCTTCCAACCCAAGCCCTTCTATGATTTTATGGAAATATCTGTCAGACCTGCCTCTTCTAAGACACCTATTGTTTGGCTCAAACACTCTGGTTTACTGAAAAGACAATGTGTTTTTTTTTTCTCTTTTAGTATTCCATATGTTTTATTTAATCATTTATGTTTGTTTTTCAAGATTCTCCTCCTTGTCCTGCAGGTTAAGAGACTTTCTCCAGAAATTCTGTTCTGTGAAGCACAGCAGAAGCACAGGAAGGAAAGGCTTCCTTTCTGCAAAGTAAAAGATATGGGGCAGGGGTAGAGGGTGGAGCTGCACATGGAGGTAATGAGAAATCACCAGAGAACAATTGATCTCAGTGCAGCAGTAGCTGAAGCAGGTGACTTCTAGACATCCAAACAGAGAGCCTCTTGGGAGGAAGGACCAGCTGCAAGCAGGACTTTCCCTGTGGTTCAGAGGGGAATGCTAGAACATTTGGAGGGATGTAGGAAAGCCAAAGCACTTTATGCTACTGAGAAGAGAGATAAAGTCAGAAGATGGATGCAGCCACACTGTTGCATGAGTGTTACAGTGTCTATGGAGCTGACTGTCAGAAGCAGTGAAATACTGAGGCTGAAAAGGAACATATTAAGCATAGACAATGACTGCTCAGGCTTCGGTTTGACATGTCCTATGTGTGTCTTTCAGGCTGCAGAGCTGCTATGCTTCTACTTGTTCTGTGGGTACCTCCCAGTCACCCTCTGGAAAGGTAGCGGGTTTCTCATCCTACAAGCTCTAGTTGCCTTCAGAAAACACCACTTGATTGCAAGGGTACTCATTTTCTGTTCAGAGATGCTGCTCAGAGGCAGACACAGAAGCAGTGTGCCTGCAGGAGCAGTTCTGAATTGTGTTGCATAAGAAAGAGCAGCCAAGAGGATGCTCAGTGAAAGAACTCCTGAAGAGTTGAATTTTATGGCCCTCTTGTTCGTCCATTGCTACACAGGCAGGTAATGAAAAAGGCCAGAATGGCTTCCTGGGAGGGAAAGACACATCAGCAAATGTTGGTCCTGTCCTCTCATCCTTGTTAGAAAAGATGAGTTTGGGGGAGTGTTGTGAGTTCGGAGGGTGCTGAGGGGAAGAGGTCCAGTTTGTGTTGAGACAAAATGCTTTGTGCCTCATTTCTGTCAGCTTCCAACCATCTCTTTTATATCTTGTTATTCTGAAGTTAACTGACTGATATTTCTGCTACAGCAGAGCTCCTACTATGGACCAGCAGCCTGCTGTCCTGTGCACTGTCCCAGCGTAACAGACAATGTCCCTGAGGTGCAGAACTTACTGTCTGAGCAGAGGACACAAGAGAGGAGCTTGGGACATAGAAATCTTGCAAGCTGACCAGAAGACACAGTGTGAAAGGTGGATATAATAATTCTGTTTCCTTGCTGAAATACAACTGAAAAACAAAGAGTTGATATTCTTCATGACTTCTTGTAGATGCAGACATATTTTCTGTTTCATTTTGTGTTTGGTTCACTTGCACCCCACCATTCTTTCCAGTGTTTCAATGAGTAATGAAAATGGTATGTGGCTACAGGCTTTCTGTATCTTGGAAGGTACAATGTTAAAGTGGCAAATTATCTGGTTTGATAGAGGAATTGTGAACTAGCAGGTTCAGTTTGGGATCTGGAAGCTGACCTAGACTTTGCATCTTCAAAAGAAGGAACGTTTTTAGGTGCAATTAAAGTCACAATGAATTAACCAGGTCTGAGCCAAACCCTTCTAACACTGCAGTTCTTCAGCTCTGTAGGACTAAAAACATCCTATCAACAGCAGAGGGTAAACACAGAGCAGGTTGGGTGAGTGACCATTTTTGAATTGTTGAACTAGAGCTTTTAAATGGAAGATCCAGGATGAGCCACTCACTTTACTGATTTCTGGAACCACATATGTTTGTAGAGCTCCAGGACTAGTAGACATCAGTACACTGGAACAGTTTTATCAGAGACAAATTTGAGCTTATGACCTTGGTTTAGAGACTGCTTCTGCTAGTGCAAACAACAGTGTGCTGCAGCTTGCACTGGCCACAAGTTTCTTCCTTCATTACTGCTCTCTGTAGAATTAATGTGGTTGCATTAATCCGAGAGGAAATCTGTCACAGGGAGGGAATACACCAGCTCTCTGCCTGAGGCTGAAGTTTGTGTACTTGTCCCTGAAATGATGGTCAATGGAAGAATTGTGTCTAGTTTGGATCAATGTACAGGCGGGTGTTACCAAACTTACCATTCAGAGATCCCAGACTAAAATAGAGAAGAGCTTTGCTATGACTAGGTATGGCAACTTTCTCTTGTTGAGAAAAGAGATCACTGGATCCAGAAACCTTGAAAAAGGAATTCAGAGGTTACTGGGTTATTCTCTGTCATGAGAAGTTAATGCAGTATGACCACCAACATGGACTAACCAAAAGCACCAGGCAGGGGAGACTGGATGGGCAGGAAGAATCATAGTAAGCATTACAGATGTTAACATCCTCTGTTAAAGCACATAGTCTTCCCAAGGTGCCAATGAATCACTTCATTACAAAAGAGTTGTGAATTGGTGTTGGTAACTCTGAACAGTGTCTAGGTTTCCCCAATCTTTTATCATTCTGTTTTCCTGTGATTTCTGTCACTTTCAGGTAAATGGAAGATTTGGAGACTAACTTAATCCAAACACGCAAAGCATGTAGAATAGAGCAAATGGTAGCAAAATGGCTTCATCGCTCTCGGGATGGTGCATCCAGGTAAACATGTTTTTTGTGAAAGGAATATCTGTTCATCACCTTTGATTAGAGACAGCAGAAGCTTGTTTGCAACAAACAGAGGCAGTCACAGGTTGCAGATCTTACTCATTGTTTCAGTTGTTCTTAGGAAATTTGCATACAGTGGTCCCTAGAAAAAACTGTTTTTAAGCACCCCCCTTTGTTTCCAGGGACCAATGTTCCTCCTTTCACACATTCTGGTTTTGTGAGCCACATATGCAGAAATACAATACTGCTCAATGTGAAATGTGCTTTTCTTGAAGATGGGGTTGTACTTCTCTTTGTGTCTTGCTATTTGCCCATCTTTTTAGTGCAAGACTGGGTTGCATTTACAAGGGATCCTGGCCCACAGCTGTTTTACTTTCCTAAGGTCTGTGAATCAAAATTAAGCTGGATTGGATCCTGGCTGAAGCAGAGAGCTGTAAATTCTCTCACAGCCTTGCTTGATAAAGGTGTTGCTGTGACCTGTGGAGGTCAGGGCTTGCTGCGGGGCACACCTGGAGTTCTCTCCCCGTGTGACTGCTGGGCTGGGGTGGCTGAAAGAGTTGTGGTTACAACCAGCTGGTGCCACTGGTCTGATATCTTCAGCTTTCTGTGCAGCCTGGTGGATCCCTACTGCCTGCACAGTGCAGAGCCACCCATGGTTACCCAGGGAAGTGCTGACCTCTCTGTGTATTGGTGCAGTCCACTGAATGTGGAAGTGTGTGTATCTGTGTGATTCTATGCCCCTTTGATAAAGTATCTTCCGACTATATCTTAATCACCAGCTTCTTGTCTCACAGGGGCAGAGTGTCTGTGACAGACAGCACCAGTGATGGCAGTGGCCAGCCTGCCAGCCGTGTCAAACTTACTGTCACAGTATACAAAGATTTGGTCCTCCATCACTACGGCTTTGAGATTTGTCCAAACCTTCCTCTTACAATTGCATCTGTCACTGCAGGTAAGCACTGTTTCCTTCTCCCTACAATCACAGGTGTGAGAAGCCTGAACTGTCCCAGATGGCCTTAGTGATAAACTCCTGCCAGGTATTTATGAGTTCCTCAGGTACCTCTGGTTGGCACATGATCCTTGAATACAGAGGGCAAAAGCCTGTGTGCCTGTGGCGTGCAGAGTGCTTGAACTTCCACCTGATTCTGATGGCATGGAAGAAATCTAAGCCAATGGCAGCTTCACTGCTAATCCTTTGCCTGCATTCGGAGACAGCTGATCTTCAGGGATGCAAAGAGCTGCTTCAAAGCAAAGTTCTTTCTGGTATTTTATCTGAATTGCAAAGGAAGAACTTCATCTAATCTTAGAGTTCTTACTCTGCAGTGGCCCTGGTGATCTGTTGTTGAAAATGCTCTCTGGGCTTACAGCCCTGTAATGCAGAGAGGATCACTGCTAGTAGTTACATGCAGGCCAGGTGAAATTCTGCTTTAGTCAAGCAGATCAACTCTTCCAGTTATAAAAGGGGGGGATATAACTCTGTTTTTAAGGTGGCGTGGGGTTTTTGAATAAAAAACTGTGAACATGTTTTTATTTACCTTTTATTTTTTTGATGAGTACACAAACATGCCTGCTTTTTACCTGTTGGTGTGAGTGTGACAGCCAGAGAAAGACTATGCCCAAGCTGGGCAAGTAGGTATTGTGGAGAGGGTGCCTGGAGAGCTGGCCTGGGCTCTGCCTCTGGCCACCCATGTGGGCTGTGGCATCCCCCATCTGCCTGAGGGAACGGCCTGTCCAAGTGCTCTTGCTTGTGGGATGTTTGGCATAAAGGCACTGCAGTATGGTCTCTGTCTTTTTACAGTGCTTTTGAGTGAAATTTTCTCTATGCCCCTTCCCATGTGAAACGTGGCTAAATTAGCTGAGTCTTGGGGTCTAAGAAGTGGGGAAGGAGGTTTTCTGTGACCTAGCTTTTCTTTTTTCCTAATCAGAGAGAATCAACATTTTATTAAAACTGAGGCACAAAGAAACCTGTCCCCTTAATTCCTGTCCTTTGCTGTGGGAGCCCATGGCTGAAAGCCCCGTGTTTAATTTCAAATTATTGTCTTTGTTTTTGCCTTTCATGTATGCTACCTGACACCAGGGTCTCCCTTGAGGGACAGGCGGCAGGTGCTAGGTGGGTGCATGGGCAAACCTGTCTGGCAGAGAAATTCAGTAGTGTGCCTTGGCCAGCAGGCTGGCTATGGTGGAGCTGGGGGCTGCATGCACGCTCCTCCTTCTCAGACCAGAGGTCCACCTGCTTCTTAGCCCCTTGGATCCTGTGGCTGCTACTCTCCTGGGAAGCAAAGCTCAGAAACCATCTTCTTCCCTTGTTGGGGGTCCTCCCAGCAGACGGCGTGGTTAAGGAGACCTTCTCCGTGCTCTCCTGGGTTGCAGAGGGGACTCACCGTGCTGGGAATCCATCCCACGTCTCCCAAGGACAGCTGCAGCACCTTGCTCTGCATGCTGGGAGTGCCAAGCCCTGGCTTGTGCGCTGTATATTCTCAGCCGCTGGGATGTAACCCACTGGGTGCAGACCCCTCAGAGAGGGAATGCCGTGCCGTAGCAGCTAACCGGAGGCCTCTGCGGGCTTGCAGGCAGGTGAAGGGCAAGGCTAGCCCGCAGTCCTCCTGTGGTTTTGCGAGACCCTGTGAGCCCTTCTGCTGCACCCCAGGAAGGCGGTTGTTCGAGGACCGTGTGGTGGGCCGTGACGAGGGAGAAGACACGCACAGGAGTGATTTTTCTGTGGTGCAGGAGCAGCTTGTGGGGCAGGAGGATGGCCCGGGCGAGGCACGATGGACACAGGCAGTGGTAGCCCAGCTGGCATCGGCACCCCACATCCTTCGGCCCCTTTTTATTTTGCCATCCAGAGGCAGCTGCTGAGGCAAAGGGGGTGCTGGGTGGGAAGAACAGCTCGCAGTGAGTGTCAGGTCTGCCGTCGCGGTGCTGTCGTGACTAACAACGTGCCGGTTGCCCGCAGGGAGCACCGCTGAAGGGAAGCTGCAGCCGGGCGACCAGCTCCTGCTGATAAACTCCACAGCGGTGGACGACATGTCTGTCAGACGAGCAGCTGATATCATCAGGTGTGGTCCCGCATGGCCTGCGGGGATGAGAGGTGGCAGAGGGCTGAGAGGAGAGGCGCGGGGACTGGGGTCTCACCAAGGGTTGCAAAGGTGCATGGCTGCGTGGGGCTGGCCCCCCCCCCCCCAAACAGAGGAGGATGACCTTGCTGCGCTCAGTGGGGGCCTGCCCCACGGGGACGAGTCCGCCCCGCAGCTGAAGGGCACAGCAGCCCAGGAGAGCGGGGTTTCCCCGGCTTTCTTCTGCCGTCGGTGCTTGGTGGGCTGCGCCCTGCCTGGCTGAGACCCCTTCCCTCACAGGGGAGGTGGAGGGGCCGAAGGGCCGTTGCTGGTGCTGCCTGCTGCGACGCTGGGGAGGAAGGCGCAGGCGGCTGCTGACCCTGGCTGACTGCATGTCTCTGTTACAGGGAGGCCGGTGACGAGCTCCTCCTAACCGTCCTGCGCTGCACGTCGGTAAATGGCCTTTCTTCAGCACTCTTGGCTCTCCCAGCACCACTGCCCCAAGATGGCCGTGGCCGGCAGTGTGGCCCGCAAGGGAAAGTTGGGGCGGCTGGGCTGGCACGCAGGACGTGAGGGCCTGACTGAAGTGACGAGGGGAGCTGCGAGGGTCCTCTGCTTTCACGCGCGGCCTTTTGAGGAGATTTTTGGGGAGAATCGGTGGTAACTCCTCACAGCTGCCCTGGGTGCAGGGCCGGGGCAGCTTGCAGAGCCTGCCACGTGGAGAGGCTCGCTGGGTGGTTTGAGCCCATGGTCCCCAGAGCTGGAGGCTCCATCAGGAGCTGTGAGGGTCCATCGGGCTCCACAGGGGCCAGGAGGCCACGATGACTGGAATGCAGGCAGGTCTCCTCAGCCCGCCAAGAACAGCCTGGAGTGCTCCCCACGTGCTGGGGCTGTCTGGGCCATGGGGACCCCCCCGGACATGGTGCCAAGGCTGCAGGCCCAGCATCTGCCCTAGGTGCTCCTTGGAAGCTCTTAAGTTTTCCTTTCTGAGTGCTGGAAAAACGTATCCCTTTTTCTCCAGGCTCTGTCTGGTTAAGGGCTGGGACCTGGGTGTGGGTCATACTTTGGGAACAGAAGCGAAGTTTTAGTACGAAACTTTGGTGCTGATTGCCCATTCCTGTAGCATAAAATTCCCCAGAAGGCATGTACTGCCAGCATGATGTGTTTATCCACTTGGATTTCAGCGTGTGTAAAAGCTGAGCTGCAAAGCAAGGACAAAATTGGGTTTGTGTGCTTTTTGGCTTCTTGTGATGTATGAAAGTGGCCTGAGGGGGATTTCCCCACCACCCCCCACCCTGGAAAGCACTTTGGGAGTGTTTTTCATTTGTTGGGAGGTTTTTTTTAATTTTGATTTATTCTTAGAAACAAGAATGATGATTCCTTCAGAAGAGTTACTGGAGTTCTCAGGCTTAAGGTCATGAGGTTTCTTGGCCATTCAGTAAAGGTACATTAAAGAGAAAATCTCTTAAATATATTTTTCCTGCCCAAAGTTTCCCAGGTGTTGGTATTCAACATATGTGCACAAAGCCAAAGTAACCAGAAAGACTTTAAGCAAAGCCACTGAACAGTAGCTTCCTTCTTGTTAATCTGATCTCCCTTGCCTAGTACATTGGCTGTCAATCTTGCCAGTGCTTGATTGGGCTCTGGAGATCAAGTCAAAAATGAGAGTTAGTTATGCAAGACCTGAATGCCTGCCGAAAGGGGAAAAATGCAATGGCTTTTCAGAGAGAAAAGGATTTGGAAAACCCTTCACGGGATTTGGAACATCCTTCACAGGCCTTCATGCATCGTTGAGAAGTAAATGGGGCACGAACCCATTTTTGTTTTTTCCTTTGCAGGTCACTTTAAGGACACCTCCAAATACAGCCAAGGCTGATCTTGGGTTTGGGGTTGGCTCTTGCCCCACTCTGAAGGCAGCTGTGCTTAGAGCTGAGAGGTAACGCCTCCCATCGACGGATAACAGACCCTCTGCCGGGGCTGCTCTGGCCACACTAAAAGGGATGTGGGAGGCCTTGGCCCTCCTCAGGACAGTTGCGGGGCGTGATGCTCCATACAGCCCGGCAGACTCTGGGAGGGCTTGCTGCCTGGGCACAGACTCCAGCCTGCTTCCCTTCCTCCATCCTTGCCAAATGTCCTCGGGGCAAGATGGGATGTGGCAGGTTGGGAGGCACCTGTGCCTCTGGCAAGAGTGTAGGACTTGCTCTACCTCGAAGTTGTGTAGGAGGATAGAGGGATACTGCTCTGTTCTTCTTAGGGAATATCATGCTCTACAAGAGCAGGACATTTGGGCACGAGAACTCAGTGGTTCCTAGGCTCATGTGGTGTCTTGTGAGCTTGGTAGGACCCCGTCATGGTGAAGGCATGGTTATGCAATGAAGTCAAGTTGGCAGTTTTGCTAAACATTTGAAATATGAGAGTATGCTCTAGAAACCCCAGCTGAGCTGGGAAGTGCTGCATACACAGCTGTGTTCTTGTGATACACTGACAGGGGGGTTTGTCCATCACTGCAAGGCACTCTGCATGTGTTGGCTTATGGTACTGTGTAGGCCCACTACAAGCCAGCTGGTGGTAGATTAACAGTTGTTCTGCAGGATCCTGGCTTCATTGCAGGAGTTGGGGAGATGCCTAAGCAGAGTAACTGGTTAAAGTGCAGTGAAATTAGGAGTGTGTACAGCATGTGTTGGACGTGTGTCCACTTGTTGGACAGCTGGGTTTGGGTTGAGAAGGCAGCAACACCCCAGGTAAGTCAAAAAGGCCTGTAGCAAACCTGGAGGCTGAGAGAGTCCCAACAGCACTTGTTCCTGTAAGTGCGGGCAGCGTGGTGTGAGCAGCTTCAGCACGGGCTGTGATTTCACCCCTGCCTGTACTGTGGGCCTCTGCCTCTTGTATGCAACTGCAACAGGCTGAGGGGCCAACCGAGTCCTGTTATCTTTTCAGGGAGGGCCTAAGTCATCGTTTCTTACTGCAGAGAAGAGGGCAAGGCTAAAAACAAATCCTGTGAAAGTACGGTTCGCAGAGGAAGTGCTGGTGAATGGACACACACAGGTCAGTGGGGCATGGCTGCAGACAGGCACCGTGGGCACTGCATGCTGGGAAGAAATGAGTCTCTCCTGCAGACAGATGCTGGGCTGGGTTAGCATGGCTAGGACCTACAGAGTGGCTGCATCCTCACTGTCCTAGTCTGCCCTGGATATGCATCCAGGCATCTGGTCCCAACTTGTTTCCTAGGCTCACTGGTGATCGGGGGGGAAGCACTGGCATCTCCAGAGGGTTTTATCTTTGATTTACTGACTTAGACTAATGGAAAATACCTGCATGTACTACTTTTGTCCTTTTACCATCAGGTAAACTTTAAACCAGCATTACACAGCTGTGGGATGTAGTAGTCATCTCCTGAGGTGCTGATCTCTCCATAGTAAACCTAGACTTAAGTTTGGGCACAATACTAACCTAGCCCTAAAGATGATGGGTGAATCCTACTGTCCATGTCAGGGTTATTTGCTGCGAAAGCAGCTTGAGTATCTCTTCCTGGCCTTCAGCAGTGTTCCGGTAGCATTGTGGTCAGAGAGTTTGGTACTGGTGACTTAGCTGTTAAATTTGACGTAAGTTCTCTAGCTGATAGGGTGACAGCTTGTTGTGTTTCATATCCTTGCAGAGGGTTTCTACAGAGCATTCACAGCTGCCTCCATAATAGACAGTCTGTAAGCTGAGCCAATCTGTTCTTATGTGAAACAAGATCACAGTTTAATGGAGGAATGCTGCGAATTTATCACAGGGTTTCTAGCACTGATGACAAATGAGCTGGGTAGATATGGGTCTGCCAGAAAAGGACAAGCAGTGAGAACACTTGTAGCTTCCCTGAAGTGCGAACAGCTCTTAAATGTTTCCTTTTTCTTCCTGCGTAACTTACTAAGCTCAGTGTGGTTGGGATGGACTGAGGTCAGTTGGGAGTCTTTAACTCTGTTGAGTTTTCCTTTTTCCCTTTGGAATGAAAAATTTCAGTGGTCAAAATCCCCCCGACCTGTCTGCTACTCATTAGTGCTGTTCAGTTGTTGAGGTCTCACCAAATCTTGCTTCTTTGCACTTTGCAGTGGTGATAAACCAGCCACTAGGCCCTTTTCTTCTTCTCTTCTAGGCTGTCTCTTGTTTCCCATCTCTGGTGGTAGGGAGCTTTCCTGACCCAGCTCAGGCAGAGCCTTCCCTGTGGCAGGCATTTCCTCTTTCCTTCTGCACCAGGGCAGAGGTGCAGCCAGAGGTGCCATGGATGTCACCAGCCTATTAGACAAGCACAGTGCAAATGCTTTGGCACCTGTGCCTGACTCCAGGCTTATCAGCATTCCTTCTCCTTCTATGGCCTGCTCTCCAGAGCAGGAGAGGGTCAGGTGTGACTGCTGACACGTTTGCCAGTAAGTCTCTCTAGACCCAGGGATCCTTTCCTTCCTGCTGAGTTGTTGCCAGATGTGCTGGAGCTGCTAAAAGGCTCATCTCTGCTCTACTGAGGGCTGTGTTCACATCCCTCAGATCTTAATGACAGGTCTGCGTGGGATCCTGCCTGAGCATTATGGCAGCTGGGCCACCCTTCCTGACACAGAAGCCAGATACTGGACACCTCATGTGGTGGGGAGACACACAGGCCACAGAGCTCACAAGGCAGGGAATAGGGAAGAGGAGGATATGCTCTGGAAGTGGTCCCAGGCAGAGGTGACTGAGAGGCCTTGGGCAAGGCTGGTTGCGTGATACAGCCAGACTTGAAAATGCCAGCAGTCTCTGCTTTTTCTTATAGCTGGAGGTTCACACTAGTATCTGCTTGGGAGTTTCCATGGAGCTGTTTCAGCCAGAGGCTGGGCACTGGTGTTGCAGTGCATGAAGGTCTCAGATCCGTGCCATTCACTTACTGATTGCAAGGTAGGTTTTGAGAGGTCTGAAGGCGGACTCCTGGAGGGGATGCTGCACTCTGCACTTCGTACAAAGCCTCTATCAATATTCTGCCAAACTAGGTTAATCATACCTTTGCGAGTGCAGAGGAGGGACACAATTAATCTATAGTTTGCTATTCATTTAATGAGAACATAAAGGTAAGAGAAATTCATTTGGGTGTTGAGGTCCCACTGGTGTTAGCTTCCCTTATCACCAGTTGCATACGGACCCTGTTTTGAGCAGTAAAATATTAGCACAAAGGAAGAGCAAAAAAATTTGTTGCATATTTATGACTTCTTTCTGGAAAAGCACTATTCACCATAGAGAGTAGCTGCTCTGCTTGAGTGTTTTAGAGCTGCTCTTCTTTCATCGGATTGATGTATTAAGACAGCCAAAATGGGCATTACTCCCTGGAAAACTGCAAAGCCTCCTGTTTCAGTAAATGTACTACTCTTGTCATCTTAATGGAGCATTGCTAAATGATCTTTGTGGCAACTGGAAGGAACCCAGAGGCTGCCTTCTGCAGTTGAAACCTGAAACTCCAGTTTGGGAACATGAATTGTTAATAAGCCTCAATGCTATCCAGCCTCCATTTTCTGTTGTGAACTTCTTATGGGTTTCCATATAACTGAATGATATGCGAGAGACAGGTCCCTCGGGATCCTCAGGTCAGCATCAGTCTGTGTATTATTAGAAGCTGTGGGCCTGGCTGTAACATGGAGTAAATCAACCTTGCACCAGACAAAACAGGAGGGGTACAACTACTTAAGCCACAGCAGAAGCTTTCAGAATTAATTCATAGTGGTCTGTTAGAGCCTGCATAAAAGGAGAGAAATCTCATCTGGGTGTTCTGGCCAGCTCATTGGATCTGACTAGGAGAGTGGTGATACTTAACTTGTATATGACTTTCTATATATAGATTTAAAGTTCTGCTGTGTGCAGGCTGTACAAGGCCCCATTCATATGATAACCTGCGCCTGCAGGAGCTACCAGAGAAAAAGTGCAGTTGGTGTAAACCAACATTGCTTTTCTGAAATTGATGGAGGACCCAAAGCCTGTCAAAGATGTGATGTGTTTGTGCTACTTAGCACAAAGGAGTTAGAGCCTGGGCTCAGGAATAGTGGCAGTGTTCACTCTTTTTTCTCAGTGATGACTGTAGGCAGCTTGAACCCCACAAAACGGGGAGTGGAGGAACAAGGAACAAGATTCAGAAGTGTTTGTTCTGGTAGTACTTCCAGGGTATATGGGTATATTAAGAGGGACCAAGGTTCTGAGATTTATAAGGTGTTGCACAGCAAATGAAACAGGGGAGATCATCTTAGAAATGCCATTCTCAACCTTAAGACTGTCATGACAAGTAGATAAACTCTAGGATTGGAGGAACACGCTGGCCCAAGAATGTAAGAAAAAAATGCTGAATGGGAAGTCGAAGGGTGGAGGAGTAAACCTCAGCACTGAACAACAAGAAGAATAAGGCTGAAAAGAAGGAAGGTGCAAATGAGCTCTACTAAAGGAGTAAGGTGGAAAGCTGAAAGGTGCAGCTCGAGACAGCCCCAGAGGACAGAGGCCAAGTTCCCAAACCCTTCTCAGAGCACCCAATGGAGGTGCTTTTGCTATGAGAGTCATTGCCTTGTCTAATGCATTTGAGACGTATCTCATCAAACTCTGGTGACATCATCTCCTGTTTGGGAAGCCCCAGAGTCACAAATTTTAGGGGAATGCTCAATAAAAGTACCACTGCATGTTTAGCTGAATCCTACAGCCTTCCCATGGTGTGCAAGATCTATTCATGGTAGCATGGAAGGTTTGGGTAGCTCTTGAAGTCATCGCTGCTGCCAGTGGGAAAGTGTCGGTGTGGGGGTTAGTGCTGCCTGGTGCTTGGTAATGGGAAGGTGTCTTTTCCAGCAGACATCACTGCTTTTCTGGTAAAGAGCAGGGAGGATGACTCTCAGCTTTCAGTACCTGCCAGATCTTCCTGTGCCATGTGGGAACTGAACAGTGGGCATAACTGGGCCACATGCCACTCTTCCACTGGCTGGAGTTTATGGTAAAGGCATTTGTTATGCTCTCTTTCCCTTCTGTGCCAGAAGCATAATCAGGGAATAAAGCTTGGTGCCGCAGAAGAGGATTGCAGAAGCAGAGAAAAATTTTGATTTATATGAGGATGTGCTGTGTCAGGCAGAGCAGCCTACTGCCCAGAGGCTTAATGTCCAACGATTAGTGCTGTTGCTTTTGTTCTGCAGGGGAATTCTCTTCTTTGTATGCCCAACGTTCTCAAGGTGTACTTGGAAAATGGACAGACGAAGGCTTTCAGGTTTGAGATGAGCACTACTGTGAAGGTAACGATGCTTGTTTGTCTGTCTTCATTCCCACCACCTGAATTCAATCCAGTAGCAAACGTGCATGCAGTGGAACTTGCAACTTCTTGGTTGTTTTGGCCAGCTAGTGGGAACTGGATTGCCAACTGATGTTGAGCATGTGGATTTTCCATGCCCTTCCTGCAGAGGAGGTGTTGCTTTGGTTCATCTCTGTTTTCTTCTCAGCAGCTGGTTTTCACAGAACTTGTGGAAACTTGGTGATGAGGCCACTACAGCTTCATTAAGTGTGATTGAAGTAGGGCAAGAGGGCAGGTTGGTGGGGGACTGGCAGATCAGCAGCTGTCTGCACAAACGTTGCTTTCCTTGGAAACCATGTGGCAGAATACAGAGGAGGTTGTTTAATGTAGCAGTGACAACGTGCATCCCTGAGAGGGAGAACAAGACTTCCTGGCTTGGGACCTGGACAGCGGAGTCCAGGTTTGGATATCACGTGAACTCAGCAAGTGCAATTGTGCCAGTTGTTACTTAAAGTGCCTATCCATGTTCCAGCCTCATTTCTGCACTGGTGAAAACGTTTCCCTGTGGAGACATGAAAACTGATTAACCCCTTGAGATGGAAAAGCAGTAGAACCTCCCTAGGATCACTTGTGCTTGGAGGCATTATAGACAAGTTGCCATCATTCTCATCATACAAGGTGCTGCTCTCCAGAGCCATTAATCTAGCACTTCCCATAATTGCCATGTTTAGACGTAGGCTTACAACTTTTAAGTTTTTCTAGCCTTATCTTTAGAGCTGCTCAGTATTTATGTTGGAGTTAATAAGATTTGCCTGTGCACAGTGATTGGAGGCCATAATTTCTTTAAAGGATATATGAAGTCCTACAGCAGTGCAGTTACTGTGGAAAAGATGCATGACAGACAGATATTCTGGAGTTATCAGGCTGAAAAAATATTAAGGCGAAAAGCAAGGAGATTTTATTTATAATGCACTGAAAATGTTCCTGAAAAAGGAGTTTATTGTCTAGTTCATCCAAACTTCACAAAACTGTTGTGGTCTCTCATGCAAGTAAGTCTCTGCAAGTCTTGTGACTTGCAGATCAGGGAAAAAGAAAATGATGAAATAAAGCAAGGAGGTAGTAAGGAAAGGGGAGATGAATTGTAAAGAGAGATTTGAATGCCCACCTGCAAGCGATTAACTTCTAAAAGATGGATTAGCTAGCTCTTCATGTTTGACTTGAGTTGCTCACCTCTGACCTGGAACAAATTTTTCCCTGCTGGAGTTGAGTGCAACCCTTAACCAGCATCCTCACAGAAACACTCAAATGGGTAAAAAGCCTCCTAAGTTAGCTGTTTTCAAAAGCTCCTGTTGTTTGAGAGATCCTTGCTTAAAACTGAGATGAGTCAAACATTTATGCTTACTTCAAGAGGGTTGAGTGAGTCAAAGGAGTTGTCTTTCCATTTGTACTGTCAAGGCTTTTTTTTTCTGTTTGCCAAAAATAAACCTAGCTATTTCCATGACACTTAGTATTCCAACAGAATTCTCCATACAACTGAAACATCAGTTTCAGTCAAATTTGGTAAGATTTTCACAGTTATGCTCTCAAATTCTTGTTTATTGGTGGGGAGAAATGTTTTTCACCAGTTCTTTCTAGTTTCTTCAAAAAGTGTCATAGAGTTCTAGAAAGCTAGAATGGGTAACAGCAAACATTTGGATCAAGGGTGACAGAAAGTGTTCCAACACCACCAAACTAAAAACTGTAAAGCCAAAACTTTCAGCATGAAGCAGCCCAGGACATGCAACTCTAGGAAATGGATTTGATGCCTATTAAACCTTGAAGTTTGCATCTTACTGCACTCTTACCACAGTGAGCTGCAGTTTCCCTACCTTGTCCTCCTGATCTACTGAAATGTGTTGTCCTCCCTTTATCTATGCTTCCCCTGCAGTTCCCTTGGCTCCCTTCCGTACCAGCTGGCTGGCATCAGTGGACATGGGTGGCTCTGACCACCGTCCTGGTGACTGCCTGGCTGGCATATTCTTTTATTGCTCAGATGTCCAGCTGGGACAGCACAGCAGCTAACTGCCGAGCTTGCGCTTGGTGTCCCAAAGAGGTTGCCATCTCCTGTACCTCCACTTCTGATGAACTTGCAGGTTTTCTCTGTGGTCTGTCTAGGTCAATGTGTTCAGAAGCTGTCACTGAAGAGGGAAAGGCAGTGCATCATATAGGCACTGGTTTCCTGTGAAACAGCAGTAAAAAGTTCATTCTGTGTTGCAGCACCAAGCATGTTCTTGGCTGCAGAGAATTTTGTGTCTGGCCACTGCCCTTTCAGTGCTGTCCCACACAGCTGCCAGCGGCAGGCTAGAATCATCCACATTCATGCGGTGTGCTAGCAGTGCTCAGCAACTGTGTCTAAATTCTGTTTGACCATCTATGTGCCTTCCCTTCCCAGGACATTGTTCTCACCTTGAAGGAGAAGCTCTCCATCCGGAGCATCGCATACTTTGCCCTTGCTCTAGAGGAGCAGTACAACGTGGCAAAGATCCACTTGCTGCATGAGGAGGAGCTCATTGAGCAGGTGAGAAGAGCCCCTCACGTGCCCCTGCAGATGTGCTGGGGTGGGGCACCAGCACCAATGAATTGTGGCCAGGGAGGTGCAGGGAGAGCTTAGCTCTGCAGGTGTCACAACAGCGAGTGAGCTGCGCCCCATCTTCAGAGATGCTGTCCTTTTCTCTCTGCCTGTCACATGTGTTACCACTGCATTAATCAGAGCCCCTGGAGAAGTGGTGCTTTCAGAAGTGTCTCGCTCCATTTAGAGAGCCCACAGAGCAATACCCATGGGCTGTTATTGCTTGAACTGTGTATAGCAGTCGCACCTGAGCATGCTTTTTGCCAGCTGATATCTACAGATGACTATTTGAGACCATCTTAAAATAGCTGCATACCCAGATATTTACAGTTCCCTAGGTAGTCAGAGAGGTGCCACTTAACCCAGCCAGGTGCCACTTTGATTAAATTCTGAATCAAAAGTTGTGTCCTGCAAACATGAGGTTAGCTCTGTTAGTAATTCTCGATTAATCTAATTTGTGAGAATGTGCCTACTTGGGAGTCTTATCTCCATGCTGTTGACTTGTTGGTGATCCACTGTGATGCAGAGAGGTTCGGTAGCTAACACCGTCCAACCACTGACCACATGTGCCTGAGAATTTCTGCTTTGTTTTACTTGGTAAGCTTGTATGGCATTCACCCAGAATAAAATATGCTAATGTACAACCCAGGGGTCTTAACATTGTACTGACATTATGATGATGATCCAGGTGTCTGTTTAGGGCTGCTGTATCTTATGACTGAACTTAAAAGCAGAGAAGCTTGCCCCTTCCTCTGCCTTGAAGCCTCTGTCCTGGTAATACTGCAAGTATATGAGATCAACAGATATTTATCAAAGTTTTGCTGTCAAAGGACTTTTCCTTCTCCCTGTGGTAGCTTGAAAACCAGAAGAAGAATCAAAGATAAAATTACAAATGCTAGCAATGTCTCCTTGTATTTGCTAAGGACAATGGTTAATCTGCAGCGATCCCACTTGGCAGTAGCTTTAGATGATTTCTGTGAGTTCGTACAAGCCAGAGGCCTACTATGCATTCATGAAGGGGGGGACTACAGCAGTAGTTGTGGCATGATCTGTTTGTCTGTTGCAGGTGGTCCAAAAAAGAGAATCTCACGACTACCGGTGCCTCTTCAGAGTTTGCTTTGTCCCAAAGGATCCCTTAGACCTCCTGCAGGAAGACCCAATAGCCTTCGAATATCTCTACCTGCAGGTGAAATTGAGGCATTCCATGCTTCAGGATCTCTTCTCACCCAATTCTCATTTCTGCTTTAAACCAAAGCATACTTCAGGCCAGTTCAATCACATGAACGCGAAATGCAGAGCAATTAAGAACAGAGTATTTGGATTCATTTTGCCTTAAATTCTTAAATCAACTTATATGCTTGGCTTTTTACCAGAATGAGATTGAAATGAGCTGGGTGACTCCCTTTATTTGACACACAGTAGTCATATCAGAGGTCTTATCCTGATGACTTCTTGACCTCCCATCATCATGCTAACTCAGTTCTGTTTGTTCCAGAGCTGCAGTGATGTGCTTCAGGAAAGATTTGCTGTGGAAATGAAATGCAGTGTGGCATTACGCCTGGCTGCTCTGCACATACAGGAGAGGATCTATGCTTGTGCTCAGCCACAGAAAGTATCCTTGAAATACATTGAGTAAGTTCACAGATTTCTGTGTTATGTTGTGACTAAGCCTGGCACAATAAGGAGCCAACTAAAAGTGGCATCAGCTCTATGTTTGCCCAGTCTTTAGGTCTGGATAGAAGACTGTCTCTGAATCAAAGAGACTGCAGTCTCCTAGTTGTGCCAGTCATTGTAGGGCAAGGTGGCTTCACAAGCCTCCATGTCTTTAACTTGCTGAGCTGCCTGAATGATATGGACAGTATAACATCTGGGCACATCCCTAAGCAGAGGGAGGTTCTGATCTGTAGCTAGAGCAGGGACATGAAATTGCAAATCTCTCACATAGTTATGGTTACCCAGGCCGCTCCTGCCAGTATACTAAGATTTGCATGTAGTAGTTGAGAGTACTTTGCACAGCCAGCACTTTACATCTCTTAATCCACCACAACTATATCAGAAATATCTAATTTCAGTATAAGTGATAGGTCCTGTGAAGTAATGGGATATGCAAAAAAAATCCTGAAAAATGCTTTTGCAAGCAGCAGGTGTGTTGTGGTGTATGTCAGTGCACCTCCCCTAAAGAACAACCCTGCTTTAAGAACTTGTGATGAGTCAATCATTAAATAACAGATATTTGTGTGGTAACTGCACCACTCATGCTCTGCCAGCCCATGCATGCACCACTGGTTCCTTGTGTACAGCCAGGCATACCCAACTCTGTGCAGTTAGTGGAGAGTTAGAAGCAACTACAGGCAACTGCAGCATTCTTAATTCCTGGATATTTAATGCTTGGGCTGAATAAACTCTTCAGCAGAACAGATGGCCCACATTTTTGGGCCTAGGGAACTGGAGATGCTAAAAAGTAGTAATCTTGTAACCAAAGTAAAGTGAATTTAAAGACAGAATCTTCATCCTCTGGGTGGCAAGGACAGATTGGGACCATTATGCTGACTAAGCTTGTAGATTGTCTCCTGTATAACCATGTAAAAACATGTATTCTGCATGGAAGTGTGTGTTCGTCCAAACCTATCTCCTGACCCAGTAGCAGATGCAAACAGAAGTGAATTTGAGTGAGGCAGTCATGTTGCATGAGCCATCTGGACATGTTACAGCACCCTGTAACACCAGCACCTGAACTGGCACGGTGCCTTTGCCCTTCTCTGCCTCTGGCCAGCTGCCCTTCTGTGCATTCCTGCGTTGCTGGCGGACAGCACAGCTGGGACCCCCTTTGATCCCTTCCCATCTTTCTGGCAGGAAGGACTGGGGAATCGAAAACTTCATCTCACCAACTTTGCTTCGAAACATGAGAGGGAAGGATATCAAGAAAGCTATCAGCTACCACATGAAGCGGAACCAGGTGCTACTGGACCCTCGGCAGAAGGTAGTATGCGTCCCCTGGGTTCAAGGTGCCTCCCAGGATGGCAGCAGCATCTCTCAGGGCCAAAGAGGCAATGTCTTTCCTCCATGGGTCTCCTCTCTATGGGACCACTTGGGGCTTTTCTCCTATCTTTTCCTCTTGTAACTTCCTGTGCTGTGCATGCACTCCAATTTCTCTGCATAGTGTGTTCTGTTGCGGTTTGTTTGTGGGGTTGCCAGATGGCAAATGTGGTAGTGTGGGATGGTCCTGTACAGATCTATTGCCTATCCAGAGCAAGCTAGATGTGTTGGTCAAATACTAAGTCCTGTGTGAAAAGAACATCTTCTGGCCTACAGGCTACCTGGCAAACCTTATTCATGTCATGTTTCTAAACGGTATTTCTTCTCTTGCAAAACGAAGCATATGCTCGCAGCAGTCCAAGTGCGCCTGAGCTACTTGCAAATACTGGGAGACCTGAAGATGTACAATGGGAAGATCTTTAATGCCACCCTGATGGTACGAGTTCTGTTTACTTATGTAATTTGGTTTTGACATACTGTCTTATTGCCTTGCTTTATGCATCTCTTATGGCAGTGTACTTGGACAATAACTGCAAAGATAGGGCACAAGAAGCTTTTTTAACCCTTTTTCTTTACCAGTGGGTAGATCATGTCTTAACCAAAGCAAACCTTATCTAAAGCAGAAATGTTTAAATATTTTTCTGAACTGACTGTTGATGTGAGACTAGCAACCTCTTACTGAGTCTCCTTCCCTGTCTTTGCTTTGATGCTCATAGAAAATGTAGCATTAGCTCTGGTGATGCCGTTTCAGCCAGCTCCGGTCACACCAATTTTCCCTGTTCTGGGACATCATGATAAATATGGGTAAGGCACTCTGCTGGGGTAACTCAGCATAGTTCCATTGAAGTGAATAACATATCAGCCTACACATTATAATAATTATGCATATTTTTTCCAATTGAAAGTTGTGGCTCTTGCTCTTCAGATGAGCTCTGTCTACATTTTGTATGTCATAAAGTACTTAAGAGATCTGGGGAGGTTTCAAAAACTCTTGAAAAGATACTGGCCACGCTTAAACCTTACTGTGAAAGAGAACACTGCTCTTTTCACAAGAGGTTTCTTGGGCTTTTTTTTTCTCTGTTCCCACTTGGATCTGTACTGAACTGTGGACCACAAGCTGTTTTGTGCAGAGAGCTGAGCAGTGCAAGTAAGCCTGTACCAGAGGAGGACCTTACTGATGGGTTGCAGTAATGCCTAGGTTTATAGTTGTGTGCAAATTGAAGTGTTTCTGCCAAATTATGTGGGCATTAATTAATTTTTTTAAGTGTCTGATCCTAACAAAGTGTTGATATTTCTTCCAAAACCAAAAATGCCTTCCTGAAGTTTCTAGCTAGATCCAGTAGGTCTCACTAGGTCCATCTGGTGCAGCCTGCCAGGTGACACTTCTGATAGCAACCTGCTGCTGACCACCTCTTTGGATCTGCTAGATGGCTGGTGCATCTCTGGGGCCACCTGCCTTGAGGGCACAGGGGAACTGGCGGTCCCCAAGCCAGAGAAGAGAATGGCCAGGAGCAGGTGACCTGACAACCTGTAAGTAACGAGGGGCTCCCTTTGCAGCTGGTTGCAGCCCAGCTGTAAAGAGAGTCCAGTGTTAAAAGATACCACATAAGATCGGGTGGCTGAAGAGTCCCTGCCCAGCACAGGTAAATGGGTTCCTGCTCAGATTTTGGCTACAGATTTAACCTCTCCCCCTACAGCTACAGGACAGAGAATCGTACGTTGCCTTGCTGGTGGGTGCCAAGTACGGGGTGAGCCAGATTATCAATAATAAGCTCAACATCATAACAAGTCTGGCAGAGTTTGCAAACATCAGCAGGGTGGAGCTTACGGAGGAGTCTGAAAAAGTGAGCATGGTGAAAATCTACCTGCAGGATCTGAAGGTAAGCGATGCTTTCCTGATGGCCAGCTTGTGGCTGTGTCGGGGCCACAGAACAAGGTGGGGAGTCATTCACACCATCTATTCTTCTCAAAATCTGACATTTAGCTGGTGGTCATCAGTGCAAAAGGCTTAGAACAGAGTGAGAAGGGAAAGCTTGTAGGAAGAATACAAAATGACTGAAGAAAAGTGATTCTTCCTGTGGTCCTCCGTCAGTGAGACATATCAAATAAACAAAAAGCGAGAAAAACAATTTCTCTTGTTTCTCTGTGCCTCATGCAAAAACAGAGTGCTCTGCAATGATGGCAGTATGGGAGAGAGGGAGTGTCTTTTCCGTTTACAGCATGTTCCTGCAGATTGTGGTATAAACAATATTTGTTTATTCTAACATTTTTTACTGTTTTCTCCCCCCTGCCTCCCCACCCACCCCCCCAAAAAAAAGCTGCTGACTCTGCTGCTGGAATCAAACAGTGCAAAAGATCTTGTCTGCCTCATCATTGGCTATTACAGACTGTTCGTGGATGCAAATGTCTCCATATTTACCTGGGGAGAGAAAAACCAGCAACTGCACCGTGTCTCAGCTGAAGAAGGTTTAAAAAAACCCAGCCATTTTTTTGCCAAGGGGTGGGGAGAAAGTGGGTGGATCCTCCAGCATTAGAGGTGTTATTCCATCCTGGGAATAGCATCACGCTAGAACAGTAGCCCAGGGGTGTGCAGTGGCCAATTATTAAAACTGTTGGCCTTGGTGCAGGCAGTGCCAGGTTTCCATCAACCCCAGGCATGTCGGGCAGGGGAAGAGCAGCAGTAATTGTCAGCTTTTCCCAAGAAGTGAAGGCTGAGGGCCTGTCGGCAAAATGGCAAACCTGTCACTGAGCACTTGTGCTCTTTTACCAACTTCCTGAACAACTTCCCCTCTACTGGCATCCGTCAGCGAGGAGAGAGAGGATCTGTTTGCCATGCTGTCCTCTCCCTTGTCAGGGTAACTCCAGCCTCATAGGGGTTGCAGTCCGAGGCTTTCGGCAACGAAAGCTGTTCTGCAGCTCCCTTGGGTACTGCCCTGCAGTAAAACTAGGCAAAGCAGGCAGGAGGGACCAAGCCTCTGCTGACAGGTTATGGCCCTGCAGGTCAGATTGCATCTTCACCTTGTTTGCTGATGAGCAAGTGAGGGCAGAGCTCTCTGGGATTTTTGAGTCCCTGCTGTGCAGACAAGTTCATAACTTGTCTGGCTGTTCTTCCTTGCCACCGCAAAGGACAGGCTGATGGATATGTTTAAATCCCAGGGTACGAATCTCGAACCTGCAGTGACTCTGAAGACTCCTGGGAGCTGGATTCCTCCTCAGAGCATTGCTTGGACACTCCTATAGCATACAGCAGTGCCCATCCTGAGTGCAACGAGGAGCTCAGAGAGCTCCACAGCCTGGAGAAGGACAGAACAAAGCCCCAAGCTGGAGGGAGTGACCAATGCGATGGGGGTGGCAATGCAACAGACAGCACATCTGAGGCTTCAGATTCAGCCAACACTGAGAGTCGAGGATTTAAGACAAGTGGCTCCAGTGACTCTATGGATGCACTAGAGGAAGATGAGTTGGAAGCTTGCTCTTCCTCCAGGCCAGAGTTCTTCCACTTCTACACACCAACAGTGCAGGAGATGAACAACTCAGACAAGAGCTTCTTCCCCATTAGTGCTGCAGGAGGCTCCAGCAGGGCAGAAAACAGAGACTACTTCTGTTTCTTGCAGGTACCACATGTAGAGGAGCCTGGGTGTGAAGACAGCCCCTCTGAGCAGAGAGGGGAGGATGTTGGTGCGCCCATGCTGGAGACCAAGCTGTCTGAGAGAAACACCATGGGCTATTACAGCCTGTGCTACAGCACATCCCCCAGAGGCAGCGTGGAGAGGAGCAACATCAGTCACAGCCCTCCCAGAAGTCCTTGGAAAGATGGGTCTGCCCAGGAAAAGGCACCATGTGGAACAGAGCAGACGGCAGAGGGGAGTGACCTCATTTTGGAGCCGCCCCCGGGCTTTGGTGACACCAGCTCTGAGGAGGAGTTCTATGATGCTGCAGACAGGCTCAGCCCTCCGGATGCCCTGGCAGGTAAAGCCTCACCCACTCACTGCAGGTCACCTTCCCTCCACCCTCTGGGCTAGGGTGTTGCTTGTTTCCTGTGTCAGTCTTCCTGGAGGGATCATCTTTCACCTCTTCATAGTTTTCCTAAGATTTTTGAAGGACCTTTGAACACCCATTCTTCATAAGCCACTCTTCAGCAGAAATACAGTGGATGTGCACACGTGGGTCAGAGCTGCAACTTTGCAGGGAGATTTGTCATCACATCCAAGCACTGGATTCCAGAAAAAGTCAGTCTTCAAATGAGTTTGGAATTCTGGAAAGTTCCCAGGTTTCTGCGGGAATTCCAGAATACTATTGTATGGCTCTGCCTGATCCTAAAGCCAACATGCTGCATGAGGAAGTTCTGTGCATCCTTCTGTGTAGGCTGAATCTCCAGTGATGAAAAAAGTGATGAGTCCCAGAAACAGAATACAGGAAAGATGTGTGTCCTTGCACTGACAGGGAGCTTTACGGCAAATATTCCCACTCTCAGGCAGTACCTTCACTCTGCTATCTTCCCTCAAGCTGAGGAAAGCTCAAAGCTGTAAAACATTATTGTTCCATACACCCTAAGATGAAAAGTAATTTTTGGGTCAGGGGCATGTCACATAACTGAGTCAAGGAGTCCTGTGGCTGAGCAGCTCCCTGGTAGTTGTGTTTTCTCAGAAAGGAGAGGATTCTTGTTTCTGAAATGATCAGCTCTTTCCACATTAACTGAACTTCTTAAGAATATGTTTTGTGTAGTTAGAACAATTTTGGCTTTTGCATTCATGCATGGTAACAACACCATGTTCAGGCACAAAATTGTAATCTCTGGAAATTTTTATCATCTAAATATCCAGGCTAGGAATCTCTGATAATGTTTCTATTCAACATTAATAACTTTACAGCTCTAGGCAGTGCTCTCTGTAGCTGCTGCTAATTCCACCAAATTTAACTTGAGAATTATAGCTGCTGTGCCTGCAGTCAGATCAACTGACTCCAGTAAACAAGGTGAGAGACTATCCAGTGCCCTTCATCACTAATCGTGGACTTCAGTCTTTGTAGCCACAGGCCCAGACTCTTTATTTTTCTTGACATAGCTGATTCCAAGTAGGTGCTTGATCATAACATAAGAGACAATTTCCTTTGGTACTTGGGAGCCAGGCTGTGCTGCCAAACATTTATGTCTGCAGTTGTAGGACCTGTATTAAGAGCTTTTTGGCCCACTGTGTAGATGTGTGGATATTCTGCTGTCTGGCGCTATTTCTTGACTTGCATGTTTTTTTCTTGCCAGCAGGCTACAGTATGACGTCCTGGGAGGGTACAGACAACTCCTCCTCCTGCATCCTAAATAAACCAAGGTGTTACAGCTTGGGGGAAAACCTGATGACAAGGCAGACAGCAAGGGAGAAACACAGAAAGGAGAAGGAGCTGACATACGCTAAGAGCCTGAGGAAGAGGAGATCTTTCCTGAAAACCGATTACACCTCGCAGGTCACTTTCCCCTTGGCTCTGCCAGGCTCTCTGCAGAGTTGCTGCTCTTGGCCACCACCAGCCCCACTCCTTGCTCAGCCCCCCACTCCACCCTCCTCAGAGGACATCAAGAAGGATGCAGAGCTGGGATTTCCTGCTACCACCCAGGCCCAGAGAGACACTGCTAGCACAAACCCACCCTCAGACCTGATGGAAATGGAGCCTGACACCATGGAAACAAAATCAGTGACTGACTCAGTGGTTTCTTCCATTTCAGCTGTTCGCCTGCAGGGTGACCAGCACAGGGAGGAAAGTGCAGGCATTGACATACATGTGGACGGTGGCCTCCAACCTGCACATGCTGTACATCCACCTTTTCTGTTCCTGGAGGAAGCAGTGCCCCTTCCTGGGGCACAAAGCAGAGCTGCCCAGGAAAGTTCCTCCATGAAGACAAATACTGGGTGGCTGAGTGAGGAGAGCTGTGTGGCCACTGAAGGCTGGCTGGCCCGAGTGGCACTGGAGGAGGTGGGTGAAGTGATGGCCCAGCACAAGGCTGGTGATGTATCCCCATTCCTGGGCCAAGAGGTGACCTGCCCTGCTAACGAACACACACTGCTGCCATCAGAACATGGCCCCTGTATGGCCTCTCCCCGTGAGGTGGCCCAGGACCAGGAACTCCTCCCCACAGCTGGGAGGCAAGCGCTGTGTGAGGAACCTCTGCCAGCTCCCTGTGAAGAAAGAAAAGCTAATTGTGACAACTGTGCTGAAAACAGCAGTGACAATGCCTTGTCACAAGCAAAAAGCAGACCAGTGATAAACAAGGAGGCCTTACAGAAAGTGCACAATAAAAATCACCTGGGTTTTCCAGATGCAACTCAGCTCTTAACAGACTGCAGCAGCACTTCAGGGGTTGTGACTCGCCTCTCCTGGCTCTCATTTGGAGTGAGGACAGACCTCACATCACCCAGCCCATCTCAGGAAAGGGCAGATATCCCACTAGAGCTTTTGGCCTCTCAGAATACCAGTGGGTGCCTGGGGGCTGATGCTCTCAGAAGGGAGATGCAAACATCCCCAGCTGGACCACCCTTTGAGAAAGAGTTGGTAAGCAGCCAGTGGCTGGATGAAGAAAAGGCCAGAAAAGATACAGGAAATGTGGCTCTCAGACAGCCACGGCCTGTTCAGACTCCTCTTCCCAGAGAGCAGGCTGCTGACATGGGGAAAGACTCTCCTCTGACTCTAGGGCTTTCCGTCTCCTCATGCCCAATTCCCTTGGGCTCGTTGGGGAAAACTGCAGGAGACCATGGGGCTTCAAAACACTCCTTCCTCTGCTTTAACCACAAGAAGGATGGGCAGACCCCTTCTGACCCCATCATGACCAGGTCCTTGGGTTTTTCCACAATGAAGAACACATCTGTGCCACAGCTTAGGACGGACAAGTGCAGCTGTCAGCTGTCCTATATCAGCTGCTTCCACAGGCCTGATGACAAGGGGGAACGTGAAACCACCATCCCCATTTGCAACACATTTCTGGGGCCCCTCACCACCCCACCATCCAGCAGCTGCAGTCTTCCTGGGACTCCTGTGAGCAGTTACCCAGTCTCCATTGCTAGGGATGTGGCATGGTGGGACCCTCATGTCCAAGCCCTCAGCCAGCTGAAGGACCAAGCATGGATGAGCCCTGCAGATTTTTCCCGCTTCCTAGCCTACACCACAGAGCTTCAGGAGGTTGTGGGGAAGCTCTCTGGGAACAAAGCAACCCACCTGCAAGATCAATGTGCAGAGCAGGGTGCTGAGAGCAAGGGTGCCCTTGGCTTAGCCTCCCGGGACCTGCTCTCCAGTTGCCAGGAGCTCCTGAGAACAGAACAGCCCCTCAAAGAGCTGCAGGCTGCGCTGAGGGTGACATTTGACCACCTCGTTCAGCTGGCAGTGGCCTGCTTCCAGGTGACACACTGCCAGCTCTGCAGGCAGAGGCAGCAGGAGCTCGGGGCTGCGCTCATGGACGTGGTGGGCACCTACCACCAGCTTGTGCAGGCTGTACACCAGCAGCTTCGCCGGCAAGGCTGCCCAGATCTGGGTACCAAGCTCCTCGCCCGCCAACACACAGCCCTTACAGCTGCCATGTTTTGTCTCCTGCAGCAGGTCAGGGTACCCCCGTTGGTGTGACGGGGCTGTTTGATGGCACACGAGTGCACTGGGTGGGGAAGAGCCCAGCTATGTTCCCTGTGTCCACTACCAGGCTCTCCCCCACAGGATGTTTAGCCCCACAGCTCTAGAATGGTCGTGGAAGGATGTGGCCACGTCCGTTGGCTTAGTTCCACCAAGAGCTGCCCTGTCCGGGGAATGGTCATGAGGCAGGGCATACTGCCCTCCAAGCCTAGCTTTGTGTAATTCTGCATACACAATCTGTATGTAATATGCAAACTCGTAGAGTACTTAAATGGCTTACGTATCTTGCCTAGGGCTTGTCCCTCACCTCCCAAAGGCCCTGCAGGTGGCCAGTCCCAAGGTGTTGCCTTAGCCTTCTTCTGTGGAGAAAGACGGGAGCCTTTTGGCCTTCCTTTCCTCTCACTCCTTACTCTACAGGCAGACTCTGAAGTAGTCACGTCAAATCCCACCCTGGCCCGATATGAAGGAACCCAGGCTGCTTTGTCCACCTTCTGTGGCTGTTTCTGGAGTTGTAATGGAAACCTCTCTGGGAACAAAGCTATGCTGTATTTAACTGCTTTTCCTTGCAAGGACAGAAGAGAAGGTTGTCCCAGGCGAGGGAGGCAACACCATATGCTGCTCTTCTGATATGGTCTCTGTGTCAGCCAGCTCTTCTGTTTGCTGATGCTTAAGTCCCTGATTAACCCCTTCCCGCTACTTATGAATCCACAGCTTCCAGAAGGAACAAGTAAGCCCAGAGACCGAAATGTCACCTTCACAGCTGTGGAGATGACCAATTATGCTGGCCTCCCTAGGAGAGGGCAAGCCCCTTCTCCCAGTCTCATCAGTAGCTCATCTTCCATTGTGTGCAGTATATCCCTAGCTAGGCATGAGCTGTTTGTTGTTAAAGGTCATCTAGCTGTGCATCCCTGGTGAGTTGGCACTCCAGTGCTGGAGGCATGACCTTGGCACCCTCTGATGAAGAGGGCAGAGGCAGGTCCCTGATTGCTGGTGTCTAAATTAGGGGCTTGTTTGGGAGCAGCTGGCTTTCTCTGAGGGGTGTCTGCAGCAGGCATGCTGCCTGACAACCTCTCTCTGCCTCCGAGTGTACTCAGGATGGAGGGGTCTGCACAAGGCAGCAGAGGAGCACGTGCACGCCACAAGAGGTGGCCAGCTCTGCCCACGCACACCACGTCTTCAAGCACCAGGGCAGCGTGGGGACAGGATTGTCCTGTGGCTCTGTAACAGGGAGGCTACTTCCACTTTTGCTCATTCTTTAATGCTTCTGGAGGGAGTAAAGGGCAAGTCCTTGCAGCTGAACTCTGATGTGGAAGAAGATGGCAGCTGGGGCAGAATGAGTGCTGCAGCACTGCTAGGAGACTTCCCTAACTAGGCAGCCTCTAACAGCCAGGCACACAAACAGCCACAGAAATTCAGCAACCTTTAGCAGCCCTATGCCAAATCCCCTACAGCCACTAGTCTCACAGTGTGCCTGCAGGCAGCAAGCTAGCTAACCAAGGGCAGTCTGCTTTCCTGGCAGCACAGGGACAGGGTGGCCAAAGTACCTTCAGCCACTGGGAAGGGTACCACTGCCAGGTGGTTTGGGTTAGCGTACGCTGCTGCCTTGCAAACTCAGGAGCTCAGTTAGAAAGTTAAAAGTCTCTTACGCAGAAGCCCCAGTGCAGACCTCTAACAACACACCAACGGCTGGTGAGCAGAGGGACACGAAAAGTAGGAACTGGAAGAGCGCACAGGCACAGCAAAGCAAGAGGCACTGGCAAACACAAATTCAGCCTATGTGGGGAGCAACACCCTGTATCCACCAACAGCTGCTCTGGCAGGCCCTACCAACGCTGTCTCATGGGCACAGAATTCCAGGTGTTGGAAAAGGTTCTTGATGTGAAGGAGAAATGAAAACACGCAAGCAAATGAGATAGTAATTTACCTCAGAAGACTAACCTGGTGGTTAGACGTAGTCATTGTCGGTGAGGTTTTGGTGGTGGTGGTGGTGGGGTTAGCAACAATGGCTGAGGTAACATACTGACTTAGATGCATCAAAAATGCATTCTGCTGTGCCTGTAAAATATGTCACTGCTCTATGTGCAGGGCACAGTCAAATCCCAGATACCTTTCCAGGACAAACATCAGGGTTAGTGAACTTTACACATCAGCGTGTGACAACATACTGTGCATCAGTAACTGTAAGGATGCAATGGGAGTTTAAGAGTAAACATTTTATTTTAGATTAGATGCACAGGATTAGCTACAGGCTTCAACAACACAAGTCTTCCAACTGGTTTAAAGTTGTTAGGACATGGTGCACCTGGGAACTGTTTCTCCATTGGGGAATCACTTCCCATCTTGTGTTCTCCAACTGGAACAGCACTATCCTTTTCTGTGGGAAGGAATTTTCCTTGCCAGTGAGCTTTGCAATTCTAACTTCACCTTAATTGTCGTTTAATCAAGATGAAAGAAATATCTTAAAGCTCTCCTCCCTGTTCCAGAACAAGTGTAGATGCAAGAGTCAGGAACACTCTAGCAAGCACCCACAGAGAAGCAAAACTGAATTCCTGTCCATTTTTTACTTGATCCCAGGACTCCATCAGCTTTTGTTTTCTGTTCCAAGGGGAAAAGCCATTTCCAGCATTGTACAGCTGAGGTAGAATGTGTCACGCTCAACAAGGTCCTTAAACAAGATTTATGCAGAGCTGTTTTCTCCACGGACATGCTGGTGCCTCTGCTTGAAATTTGGAGTTTGCCTCTCTTGTCTGCATGGCTCCATAACATCACAAAATAAAGAGTTTTCTTGTGCATTGTCATGCTGAGTTATTTCCACTTATTTCACTGCATCTGGTAGCGCATAGCCTTTTCCAGAAGAAACTCCAGCTTTCAAGGCTGCTGGCCAACTTCGGGTTTCATAGTAAGTTGATAAGACATCAAAGACTGTCAGGAATAGAGACATACCGTGCTATGATACCAGTATCACTAGGAAGCTCTGTAATACACACCCAACGGCTGCAAAACATCAGGAAATTATAACAACTGATGCCAGAGGTTAGCATGGGATTTGCATTCCCTCTCATTTAAAATCTGATGGGCAAGTGTTTGAGGCAGCTCATGCAGGAGCAGACAACTATTTTCAAGATGACTTTGGGGAGCTCTGGCTAGGAAAAGCAGAGCCTGTGTCACCTGAAGCAAGGTGCTGCTGGTCACCATTTTGACTAACCTAACCTATACTGCCCGTCTGTGCTGCTGACAGTACACCCATGGTGGGTCATACCTACTGTGCTTCCACCATCGCTTCTCAGATGCTGTGTCTCCAGATCAAGGCTCCCATGGGACACACAGTGGTCTCTAGCAGCTATGCTTCGTGGTCTGCAGAGCCCTCCAACACCTCCTCTGCCTCGTGCAGACTGAGATGGCAACAACATCCTCATGCCAGAGGTAGGAACTTACTAGAGCCAGCCTAGGACACGAACCCCTCTGTAGTCCTTAGAGGTGTTCACATTACAAAGCCACAGACTGCCAGCAGAGGTGGAGGAGCATGAGCACATCCACTGATATGACAAGGTGGCCTAGATCACAGTCATGACATGGAGCCATCACAGTGGTATAGCACACGAACACCCCACCCTGGTATTGTAAGCCTTGCCTTGACTGAGCCTGACACAGGCCTGACAACTTCTGTCCTCCCTTGCCTGGGACCTTGTGTGACTTGTAGCAACAGCATCCTCCTCGCATCTCCCCACACTAACTGTTTGCTGCTTTGTGCAAAGCAGGGATGATGCAAGTCCTGCTCCCCTGAGAACGGGCTGATGCAGAGAAGCACACAAGACCTTCAACATGGGGGCAGCACAGATAAAACCTAGTAAGAGAAACCTCTGCTCCCTGTTTTCCCCCATTACTCAGCACTGGGCCTCCATTTTGAAAACACTGCTGCTTCAGCCACTTGATAGCCTCTCCCCTCCTCCAGCCCAGCCCAGTGACAGGACATGGCTCAGCCTCTCACCTTGATTAACTGCCAGTGTCTCTGAGTGGTAGTTCTTGGTGTTAACGGTTTTCACCATGTACTCACGAATGGGGAGGCGGGCTGTTTGTAAGGACTGCTCTCGTGCCCTTTGCAGAGTCAGCTTCTGCAAGGGAAACAAGAACAAGATGCACAAACCTGCACATGCATAGCATGCACATCATTTTGGGCACAAGCAGCTACAAAGCTGAAAACTGTCGTGTTTCACCCAGACTGCTGCAGTCTCTCTCAGTCTGGTGCTGGATCCAGGCAGAACCTTGAGGAAAAACAGGTGGTGGCAGAACAGTGATGTCTCAAATCAAGGCAGCAGCAGCACTGGGTGCTACCAATGGGACGTCTCTGCTCTCATGAGAGAATGGGGCAGACAGCACCTTCTGGTTCTGACAGGCTACTACCCACCTTGTGAATACTTTCATCCACCAGGCCTCCGAGGACGTACACTTTATTTGGATCAATATCTTCAAGGACTAGAAACAAGATAAGCACTTGCTCACCACCACACAACAGTAAAATCCTGCATGATACCATTTTCCAAGCAAGACTCCACTTCCATGAGAAAGCTGTGGCCAAAGTCACCCTTTACCCTGGAGCCTCAGACTGTGCAGGAGCCTGAGGCTTCAGAGACAGAAGCATCTGCCTGAACCCACATGCACACTGAAAGGGGTAGATCAGATGCAGGCTGAAAGCACAGAGTGCCAGAGACACCATACGTTTCTGCTCCCTTTAACTGTTGTCTGTTCTGAGATCTGGCTGATCTGGTCAGTCTGATCCCAATCTGCTCGGCAGACACCTCCCCACTGTCAAGGTCACCTACTAAAACCTTCCCCCATCCTTATCAGGTTCTTTATCAGAGTAAGGCACTTGCATAAAACAAGAAAGGGATTTAAGTCCCCAGAAACATGTGGCTGCTTAGAAATGGAGGGAGAAAAATATATGCAGCAGCAAATTAAGCAATGTAGCTGCTGCATTATTTCAGAGAAAGATGTTATTTAGACTGTATCCAAAACTGCCACAGCATGTCTACTTCGCTGCTTCATAGTATTACAAACTGCAGGGGGTCTAGACCCAGGTTTTAAGTGAAGTCTGCTGCAGATCACACACAACCCTGAGTCAAAACCTTACCCCCCGTCAGAACAGATGGAGATAGGAACAGATTTAGCATCAGAACTAAGTACACAGTACATCTCATCCAATTTGAGACAGTGAATGCTTGGAATTTCATCACCTTAAGTATGAAATAGTCTCAAAAAGAAAAGCTTAAAATAAAAAAATCAACGTTTTGCCCTAGTTCCCCTGTGCCTAAAGCATGTACAATATTTACCATTCTCAGAGTCAGGAGTGAGATAAACAATTGCATCTAAAGGAAACAGGTCCAGGTAACTTTCTTCAGTTGTATCCATCTGAAAAATGCAAGACGGGGAGAAGCAGCCCATTAGCCCAAAGTCCATCTGCCAGAGCAAAACCCACTGCCAGACATGGAAATAAACTGGAACTGACACTAGTGCCTCAGGTGTTTAAACTCCTACAGATAGAGTGCTTTTTTTTAAATTGGAAAATGTTTCTGTATGAGCACTGAACAATACATATCTCAAAATCCATTAAATTCTCTTCTCATCAAAATCCATAGACATGGTTTGAGGAAGAGAGATCAGCAATAATTACCTAATCTTAAATGATATTCTAATTCTTTAGAGATTCAGGAATCTCCACTTCAGGTGGTTTTCTCTCCTCACTGCTACCAGGTGCCGCCCCACATGCGCTGTAGAACACATGGCTCAATGTCACTGCCATAACCTGTATGTGTGGGTCTCATGCTCGAGTCAGACCGAGCTCGGTCCAAAAACTCAGGACAGGAATGCGTGACCTGCCCAGAGCCTGACCAAGCTTACATGTCTGGCTGTCCCCAGTATTACAGGTCTCTCTGCAGAAGGAGCATCCGGAGAAGGAATTCTCCTCCTGCAGGTAGGAAGGACACAAGCTCTAACCTGAAGGCCTTGCACATCACCCCATTATATGTCAGTTCTTGTCTCCTGCCAAAGGGCAAGAAGATCTGACCTTAACCACTGTCAGTGAACGGCATTCCCACACCACTCACAGCACTCATCCCAGCCCACCTCAGCCTGTCCTTGGGTCAGCACTGAGGGCCAGCACTGTGGCTGCAGGGCGCTACGAGCCTTGAAAGCACTGTGGTCAGAGACCCTTACCACATAATTGGAGAAGCCGTCGTTCATGCGAAAACACTCTTCGTAGATCAATGAGCCCACCACAAACTCCGTCAGACAGAGCCAAAACGGCTTCTTGGCCCGCCTGTTTGCCCCGTAGAGTCTCCTGATCTGGGAGGCGAGGCGGCTTGTTTCCTTCCAACAAATAACAAGCACAGTGACCCACAAGTCCAGGGGCAGGGGGTAACATGGCTCCATTCAGGGCCTGCAGACTTCCACGATGCCCGTGTCACCGGCTGGTTGCTGAGGCTCTGGAAAGGCTGTTCCTGGGGAGCACAGCTCAACTGCCTCTAGCTCTCAAGGAAACCCAGAGACCTGGGTGTGCAGCCAGCCAGTGCTGGAGACCAGGCAGCCATGGGCAAGCCTGGGGGGTGAAGGGACAGGCAGAGACAGGAGGGGCCAGCATGACCCCAGACGCTGAGCCCAGGAGAGCTGCTGCGTGTACCCTCACACATCCCAGCTCTAACTGAGCTGGAGGGTTTCTTAGTTTCCCAGCACAGCTACAACAGACCAGTGATCTGCCCCAGTCACCTCTCCCTCTGATGCTTTCCAGAGCAGAAGCAGAGAGGGACAGACAGGTTAAGAAGAGCAGCTGTCAGGCCGTGTTGAGCCTATGTCAGGGCACATCCCCAGGATCTCCCCAGCAGGCAGTGACAGCATATTTCCATACATTCTGTATGGTATGTCTAAATATTTTGATGGTTTTAATATTTTGTACCAGCCGTGGAAACTGGTTTGCTGCTAGGTGACTGTAAAAGTGAGATTTGGTAAATAATTATTAGAAATCTATAATAACACTATGATTGAAACAATAGGCAAACGTATAGCCAAGCAATTAACTAGTGGAGGTAGTTACTCCTAAGTTTTGCAGTTCTTTGCTCTTATGACTAGATGTTCCTGTACGCTAGATGAGAACAATGCTGAAACTGACCACGTGTGATTGAAACTGCGTTAAGCTTCAAGATCAAAGAGCAAGGACAAGAATAAAGACTTCAGGGACAGCCAGCAAGAACTTCAAATGGGTCGGTGGTCACAAAAGCAGCCCTTCGACTCAGACGGATCCTTCCTTGCGCATGATCGGATGTAGGCAGTACTAAGATAATCAGTTGCAATCATTTTTATGTATATATATACTAATCTGGTTAATACGCAATTAGTTATTCTATACAACCCGTTAGTGCTAAAGCTGTGGCATGCGCGCGAGGTGGACTTATCCCCTGCGCACCCCGCGCTGCAGTAAAGAACGCCTGCTTCCTAAAACTCCAAAACGAGCCTTAGGGAGTTTCTTGGACCGGCTTTTTCGCTATCAGCAGCACCGGCGCAGGAGGGCAGAAGCAAGCCGGGACCCCCGCCGCCCCCGTACCTTCTGCGTCATGCAGTCGGCCATGCCGAGGTCCACGCAGAGCCGGGGCCCCGAAGCCTTGGCCTCCAGCAGACGTTCCTTCACCAGGGCGGCCGAGGCCCTCCCGCCATCCCGGCTGGCAGCCCCTGGGAGGCAAAGCA